ACTGGGCACACGGGACCTGCGTACCTGCTGGGGGTGGCTCTGGGCTGAGCTGGCCGCCCCCTGGAATGGCTTCAGCGAGGATGTCAAGCCGCCCCTTGGACATCGCAGACAGCTTCTCCTTTTGGGATGAAGCCAGGTTTTCCAAGAAGCGAGCTCTGCAAAAGGGAGTTGAATGTCTGCGACCAGCCGCATGCAGGCAGGGCACAGGGCCACGGTGCACGTGTCTAGCAGAGGCAGCCGTGTCCCGGGACAGCACTGCTGGCATGCCTGACACCCTCCGCCTCTTGGGTCAGAGCACACACTCCACCACACGGTACGCGGAGCCATATGTGTGTCAGGCCAGCACCCGCCTACAGCCACCCAGGTCCATCAGCCTTCCCCTCCCACCACCGGGACGGCCTGGCCAGACATCCGGGCACCTGCGCATGGTGTCCCCAGCTCCTCCTTCCCACACTGGGGCAGAGAAAACCCAGGCATCCGCTCAGCTCTGACACACCCTGTAAATCACCTCACTGCCCCCTCTGACACTCCCGGCCCCATTACGCGATGGGCAGCCCCCCCGAAAGCTGCCAACACGCATGGTGCAGTCTTCCTGCCTAGGGATTCGAGTGGTCCCCGGGGCCGGGGTCACACTGCAGTTCCCAGCTAAGATCCTGCTGCTTTCGCTCCCCACCCTCATGTTCAGCACTGTGCCAGGCTGCTATGTGCTGCTGGCAGCTGCCGCCCACAGCCCAGAGGCGGACGCATTCTGGCTGTGGGGAAAGCAGGCATGCGAGAGGCCAGTGGGGAGACGGGAAGGGCTCCAGAGTTAGGGTGGCCGAGTGCATTGAAGGTAGTTTAACAGAGCAGGGACTCTCCCTTCGCCTGGTGTCCTGGATCGACAGCCCCCCCTTCTCCGGGCAGGCTGGGGAAGTTCCCCAGGAAAATGTTCAACGGGGGGGAAGTTCAAAGATGTCAAAAATGGCTCCTCTCAGGTTTCCGGGGCTTCCTGGACATTACATGGGCTTGCTTTAAATCTCAGCCTTGGGGGTAGCTAGGAATGTAACAAAACCCAGGGCACAGGCTAACTGAAAACAAGGGAGCCAGTTCCCATAGGGCCTGGGGGATCCTGCAGCCTCAGAACTCGCTGCGAAATGTGCCGCTCGCCGCAAAATTACGCTCCAGGAACCCAGCTTTTATTTAGAGGAAGAAGCTGCCCCCAGCACTAGTAGCCGTGATGTCACCCTGAGATCTGGGAAACGGGTGCAGCTCCATTGCTGTCTCCCCAGTCTGCCTTGAGCCTGAAACAGCCGCTCAGCCTGGGAAGACACCCCTTCCCCTCACTGCAGAGCTAACAATTAAACCGTCATCATTAGGGCTCAGAGTTAACTACTTCACTGCTGATCGTATTAGCAAGAGATACCCAGCTAATGTGTGCATCTCTCAGTCCCAAACTGACTCGCTGGTGCCAAAAGCGCCAGCAACCATCGTCTCCAGCCTCCCTGACAACGTCTGGGTCCTATGCTGTTCGGGCAAACCTCTGCAGCACACTCGGAATGGAAAACGGGGTGGCCAGGCAAAATGAGCAATCTCATCCTGTCTGACCAACCGACCCCGTCCGATGTAATTCACGACACTCTGACGTCTGCCACGGAAAGGGACCCACCGCAATGCTGCAGCTGGTAGCACAGCCGCACTGAAGGATCCAGGGGCCCCGCCGCAGAGCCTGTGCCCGGCTGGCCTGGACGCCCGCGCCAGCTCTCCCTACTATTCAGGTCTGTTTCTGAACACGCCACGAGCGCTGCCTGATTCGATCCTCAAAGGCAATGCTAAGGGTACAATCTATTCACAGCGCTGTACGTCAGCCCTTGCGGTGCGGCTCGTCCCCTACAGACATAGGCGCCCCAAAGCTCCGGAGTCCCGCCAGGCAAACACCTTCCCCGGCAGAGGCTCTCGCAGACTTGGGCCTGGGCCCCTATTGAACTCTGTAGGGTTCTAGCTCCAAAAGCCACTGGCTTCTGGCACTGCCCAGGGAGCCCAGACACCCGGAAAGGTTGAAACACTAAAAATCTTCCAGCACACGGGCTTGAAGCTCGCGGCTTCCCAAGCTAGAGCGCTCTAAGGAGCTAGGCAGGGCTGGAGGGTCCTGCTAGGGCTGGGACCAATGTGTGTCTATCGCTCGCTGTGGGGGCTGAGTTACCCACAAAGCACGCTGGAGGGAGTCAAGGAAACCAATCTCCCCTCTTTCCACAGCCCAATCTCTCTGCCCTGGCACCGCTCCACCCAAGCCAGGCTCGGACGGGCGCTGTCCCCCAGCTCGGCAGAGGGAAGTGCAGCCACACACGCCTTGGGGAGGCAGATGTGTGGGAGACAATCAGCCCCCAGCTCCCATGACCATGTGACATTTACTCTAGAGAACAACACCTGAGCCCTGCTCTGTTCCGGGGGCGCCCAGGCCTGGCTCCAGCGGGACCCAGGGCACATCTGAAGATGCGCCCACATCTGTACTTACTCAAACTTCCTCAGAACGGGCTTGTCCCCACGCAAAGGGGGGCTCTCCTCTCGCCTGAGAGAAAAGAGCAGTTAGCACCGCTGCCCGGCGCGGCGCGGCCCATGCTTTCCGCATGCTTTCCACACGGCAGCCGCCTCTCAGCTCCACTCGGCCGGCGCCCTGCATCAGGGCAGCCCCATGGGTTCCAGCCTGAGCACAAACGGCACAGCACGCCCCAGAGCGAATGGCACTGCCCCCTGTGCTGCCAGCCCCTGCTCTCCCCAGCGCTCTCCAGGCCAATCCACCTAAGGGCACATCTGGGCTGCAGGCGTCCGCTCCACCTCAGGGCAACATACAGCACCAGTTCTGACCGAGCTAGTGCGCTAGGAGCAGCGTGAGAGGTACGTGCGGAGTATCTGGGCTGGCACTGTACTGGGGGCAGACAGCCCCTCCCAGCGACACTATTTGATCAGGCTAGCGTGATCAGAGCTAGCACGGGGACCAGGGAATCACACCCCCAGCTCCAGTGTGGACGCACCCTAAGGGGATGTCTACACTGCAAGGCAAGCCCAGGGTTTGAACTCAGCCTCCAGCTGAAATCGCCTTCCACCTACACACAAACCGAGCAAGCCCAGGTCCCATAAGGGGGCAGAGTCCAAGCCAGGACCCGGGGCCCGACCCCTATTGCTTTGCAGGGTAGACGCAGCCCCACTGGACTCGTGCTCTGGGCATCAGCCAAAAATATCCCACGGCCCGACTTTCCTTGTCTGCTTGGCAGTCACGTTTGGTGGACGGTCACGTCTTCCCCGCAAAGGGCTAGAGCAGTCACATGCTGGGAAGCCTGTGATACGGGTGGTTGGACACGGGCCTGCATAATGCAGTCAAGACGCTGGAGCCCCGGCTTGGGACCCAACCTCTCCTAACCTGGGGTTACACATGAGTGTAGACGCTGAAGCCCGAAGTTAGCAAACCCCAGCTCTGCTACGTCGTGTTCTACTGACCCTGGGCTAACTCGCAGTGTCGACATATCCTACATCTGCCACCACAATCGGAGCTCCCCCGTGCCGCTCTGAGCCTCTTGTCCAGCCCAGGGACACCTCCCGGCCGCTGCATTGGGCCCACCTCTGCTGAGAGCGCCCGTTGCGCACCAGACTGGGAAAATCCCTGCCATGCAGCAGCCCCAGCCAATCGAAGTTCCACTAACTATGGGACAAACTGGCACTTGCACTCAGAGACGAGGGGCTCAGCACCCCGTGTGTGCTCCTCCTGCCCCCCAGGCCAGCCGACAGCCCCCTGGGCATAGCGCACTCTGGTCACTCAACAGGTGCCACCATCAGTCCGGTCGTCCCCTCCCTCAGCAGAGGTGCCCCCCCGACCGTTACAGGAGCAGCCGTGGCGAAGGTCCCTGGGGCAAGGAATGGGGTTCCACACACGGGCCAGTCCTTCGCGAGGGCTCGTGGAGGGGTGGGGGGCTGCCACCCTTCCCACACCCACCATGCCTACAGAGGGCGTCCCGGCAGCCATTTTGGAGGGCAGCCATTTTCACACCCAGTTCGGCGCCCACAGCACATGAGCTGTCAGTTAACACAGCCGGCCTCCAGCCACGCACAGCAGCCTCCGGAACACGGGTTCTAGTGACGCCCTGGGGCAGGCCCAGCTGCTGAACCCAATGCTGGAACCCCCAAGGGCACCCAGCCATAACCAGGCAGCTCCCCGCTCCCCTCCATCCAGGCACAGAACAAGGGGCCAGCCCAAATGAACAGCACGAGGGACTCACACAGAGACCCCAACCCCGAGGATGGCACTGCCAGCCCAGCAGTCAGAGTGCAGCGGCTCAGGCCTCACGGGCCTGCACCAGGCCGCTCCGCACGCCCCAGCAGCGGGCTAGCCGGTCGCTCGCTGCGTGCTCTGCGCACCATGTCTGGGGTTATGGCTGACTCAGAACCAACATGCTGGCGAGGGGAAGTGGGGCAGGCTGCATGGTGCTCTGCTGGCCCTCAAGGTTGCAGAGAGAGGACAGGGGCAGGGGGGGGAAGTGCTGCAGAGACAAGCAGGGGGTTTCCTGCGTCGTCGTGGAGGTGGCTGGACAAGCTCAGTGCCAAGAGGAGGTCTCTGGCCCCAGCCTAGGAGAAAGCCTCGTGTGGCTGGCTCAGTGGTCAGTGATCAGGAAAGATGGGACCTTGATTGCTGAGTGGAACGTAGCTCCCAGCCCAGCGAAGGAGTTTCGGGAAGTGCTGCCCGGCAACGCGAAGCATGTAATGGGGACAGAATCGTGTGGCCAGCACTCAGAGGAGACCCAGGCCTGGAAGCAGCAGATGCAGCCTCATGCAAGCAAACCCCAGTGCAGCGCCCACGCTCCAGCCTAATGGAGCGCAGGGAGAGGTGGCCTGGACAGAGCAGCCGCAGGCAGGGAGAGGAAACTAGCCACAGCACGTGGGAGGAGCATGCCGGGAAGGGTCACATGCACACGCACGCAGCCTCCGTGTCACTTACCAAACAGGGGCAGTTTGGTGAAGTCTGAAAAAGGAAAGAAAGTTGAGGCAGAGGAGAATCAGTGCCGAGAGAAGGAGCAGAGAGTGTGAGAGCTGGAGCTAGAGATGCCACCCATCCACTTGGGGACAGCCTGCCTGAGCTGAGTCCGAGGGGGCACCGCCAGCAGAGGAGTGGGCAGGCCATTCCCATGGCGCTGGCTGGGATCCCGGTATTCGCAGAGACCCCACTCTGCGGGGGGAGCACGCTGGCTGCATGCTGGAGGGCCTTCCCCTTTTCCCCCTTTGGGAGGGTACTGATCACCCACTAGACACCTCCACCCAGCTGAGCAGGGCCCAGAGGCCAACAGCTGGGAACCCCCCACCCCAGTGTGCTGTCTCCACGGGGTACATCAGCATGCTGACTCCAGAGCGCCCCGCGAGTGTGGACTGTGTAGGCTGGGTCCCTCTCACGCAGTGCTGCCCCCTCCTGCCGGCCCATCCGCTACACACCCCTCCTGCACACCAGGACAGCTTCCCTCCACACAGCTCCCTTCCCATCATCACCTGGAGCTCCCAAGGAACCCTGCTCCTCCACAGGGGGGCTGGCTCCCGAGCCCTAGGAACCATTCCGGATCCACAACCGGCCTTCCCTGTCGCACACAGCCCTTCTTGCGCAGGCCGGGGGCCCAGGAGGATGGGCTGTCGATGGGCTCCCCCTGGTCCCCCACAGGAAGGGCCCTGGGGCTAAACAGCGCCACCGACCCACTGCCGGAAACACACCCAGAGCGCCTGAGACCACGGACAGGCCCCAGCTCAGGTCAGTGTGGGGACGTCTACACTGCAAAGGAAACCCCTGGCACCAAGTCTGAGGGGGGGAGGGTCTCAGAGCCCGGGCGGGAACATCCACACTGCTGTTTTCAGCCCCACAGCGCCAGCCTGAGTTACTTGACCTGGGCTCTCAGGTGGTTTATTTATTTATTTATTTTGCTGTATAGATGCACTCTGGGGTATCTCTGCTGAGAGGGGACGGGACAGGGAGTGGGGAGGGGAGGGAGAGGTGTCTCTGCCTCGCAGTCCCTCTGGCCTCGCAGTGCCCCCGCACCCCCGACTCACGCTCCCTCAGTGTCCTGCCCAGAGCCTCCCCAGGCCTGTCTTGCGCCGTGCCCCAGCAGGGCCAGCACACACTCCTCAGTTCCTGGCAAGCTGAGGCAACTCACTTGAAAACGCTCCTCTCCCCCAGGCTGGGGTGCTCCCTCTCCTCCGGGGAGGCCGGCGCAGAGAGCCGCACGTTGGATGTGCTGTTGTAAACACTCTCGAAGCAGGGCCTGAAACGGCAGCAGCGCAGACTCAGCCTACGCCCCACGAGCCAGCCCCTCTTTGCAGTCGTGCGGCCAGCAGGGCCCAGCATGCACCGAGAGGGGCTCTTGCTGTTACGTTTCAATGGATCACACACAGCACCCCATCATTCACCTGCAGGGGGCGCACACGGAGACTCGGGGCCTGGCCGCAGACACTTCATTCAGGGTGCCCACCCAGGCCAAGCGCCCGGACAGGAGCCCTGCAGGTTCAGCGTGGCTAAGCCAGCCCTGAGGAGTGGGAGATGGAGCAGATCACAGCTCGTCACATGCAGATCCCTGGCTGGGCATGCCCAGCCCACCGCCTCAGGTCTGCCCCAGCCTCTGCAGTACCACCCAAACCCTTTGAACAGTCCTGCCCCAAACACCCAGAACCCAGCTCTGTTCCTGCACACCGCACACAGCTACTGGCCAGCCTGCCTATCCCTGCCCAACGCCCAGTACTCACGGAGCTGGGCTGCTCTCCGTCTCCGTCTCGGCAGTGGGTTCCCTCGGGGGGCTGGAGGGCTCAGGCAGCTTGTTGTCCTCCACAGCTGGGCTTGGGGAGCTTGCACCGGCTCCAGCATCTACGTTGCCACCCAGGGAGCGCCGGCCGCGCCGGTTCTCGTCTGTTTTCCGCCGCTCCTTGCGCACCCCCGGCGGCAGCTCTTCCACTCCGTCTTCATGTCTGAGCGAGCTCTGCGGAGAGCAGCACACGGGCAGAGCGTGCCAGGATACGCTGGGCTGCCTCCCAGCTGCTGTAGGGCCCTGTTACCCCGTGCTGTCATGGGGCTCCTATGCCCACCGCGCTCAGCTGTTGCCTGCCTGCCTCTGCTCACCTGACCTATTCCGTCCCCACGGCGTTGACGCTCTCCTCTGCCTGAGCCTGCTGACAGCCTAAACCAACGGCTCCAAGAGGCGTGAACGCCCCCAGCACCCATCGGCCTCACTTGGGAGCAACTAACGTCTAGCCACGGGATGCTGAGTGTGACAACAGGGGAGAGTGCAGCTACTGCAGCCTCAGCACAACCCCTCTGCGAGCCAGAGACCTTCTCCATCCCCTCTGCGGGCTGGGGAGGGGAGCTGGGATCATGCCTGGCTGTGGGGGAGATACAACATTGCTGTGTGGGGCAGCGACCCCAGGCTCACCGGGAAGCAGTGAGATTTCCACCAGGTCATTCAGGAGCCTAAGCGCTTGGAGCCTTGGACATGCTGGGGGTCGGCAGCGCTAGGCCTGTCCCAACAGCCCAGTGACCTGCCCAGCCACACGGAGGATGGAGCATCTGTCAGTACCTGGCAGGTCCTCACCTTCCTGTCCAACCTCCAGGGCACCTCCCTGCAGGCAGGATGCTCCCGTAGGTGTGGCCAGGGCAATCCCAGAACCCCCTGCGTAAGGGGTGTGTGTGTGAGTCCTTCCAAGCCTCTGGCCTGCACCCGAGGGCAGGGGAGATGGAGGGGCAGGGGGCTGCGGCCCATGGAGAGAGGAAATGCACTCACTTCATAGATTGCAAACTGCTGCTTCACGTCAGGATCCAGGCCTTTGTTGTGCATGTGGCGCTGCACAATGCACTCCATCCCCTGCTGCTCCAGGCAGTCTGTCACATCGTAGAACGAGTCCTGGTCCGGGAGGGCTGCCAGCGTCTGAGCAACACCAAGGGGATGCAGTCAGGCCAGCCCGCGGCCCAGGGGCTAGCAGGCCTCTTGCCCACACCTCCCAGCCCAGGCCCCAGAGCAGGACTGCACAGGTGAAGGGCAGGGGTGGGAGGAAGGAGCAACATGGGAGCCACTCCCAGGAATGCACGAAACATGCTCCAAACCACAGCCACCAGCTGCTTGTTCTTTGCCCTCTGAGCAGCCAGGGGGTCGGCAGGATGTGCCGGGCTGCGGCCGCTCTGCCTCGCGGTACTGACCTTGTTGATAAGTGTCATCGCAAACACCAGCAGCTCCGTGTCAGCCCCATTGCGCTCCTCTAAGATTGCAACCAGGTTGGACCATGGATACGCACCTAGGAAACAGCACCACAAGCCTGGCAAACAGGGTCCCTGAGCAGGGCAGGTTTCCTCCTCGTGATTGGTGCCCCCCCATCAGCCAGGCAGATCGGCCCACTTCCGGACTCCCTCCCCCATCCCTCCCCCCCGAGGAAGCGTCAGGGGGCAGAGCCCCCACCAGCTCGTTACACTGTGCGTCCCGTGGAGAGCTTTGCACCTGAGACCCAGGACTCAGAGCTGCAGCCTGCTTGCGCCCAGGGAGGTGGTAGCTCCGAAAGGGGATCCTGTGTTAACAGATCCACCGAGAGTCTCCGAGTGGGGCTTACTACCATGTGAGGACAGTAGCCGGGCCCACTGGTCCAGCCAGCGCACCAAGTGCTGGGGAGACGACGAATGTGGGAATTCCGGAGCTGCCAGCCCCTGCAGCATGCCGCACCAGGCTGGAACCTGGCTCTCTGCCAGCCAGTTCAGACCGAGGTGTTCTCTGGGATGGCCCTGCACCCCATCTGCCCCCCTCAGGACATGCACGGCCCCGGTGTGACCGAGGCGTCCGAGCGCCATAGGTTACCAGAGGCCCAGCACAGCCTGCACCATGGAGATACCACATGCAGAAGGAGGATCCCTACACAAGCTTTATTCCCCGCCTCCTCTGTCTTCACGGCAGAGTTAACCCGGGCTCTGACCAGGGTGTCGCCCCCTCCCATCCTCCTCTCACTCCAGTGTGCTGCTGCTTTAACCCCTGGCTGTAGCTAGAGCTCAAATTCTGACTTCGCTGGGGCTGGTCACAGGCCCACTTCACAGAGAGGACCCAGGCTAAGCCACGCGACTGCTGACAGTCCTCCACCTTTCCCACAATTCCCCCCGCGTGGCCCGGACAGACACGTTCCCCACAATTCCCTGGGAAGGAACATCTCACTCACTGCAGTGCAAAGCAGCCTGGGACGTACCCCAGAAGTCCCAGAGCCACACAGGTGAGTGCGGCACCAGTGCGGACCAGGTAACTGGAGCCTGGCGGTGCAGTGTGGCGGCTCCCACCCTGCCCTGATCACAGGGCACAGTCACCCCTGGGACAGACACTTCAACACCCTGACCTGCCAGCAGAGGTCGCTGTAGCACCACATGCAGGCCAGCACTGCCCAGCTGCTCTCCGAGACAGAGCACCGGGCGCACGCAGGGCCCAGAGAGACCGGCACCCCCTCTTCCTCCCAGTACAGTGGGTCTCCTGTAAACCCCACAGAGCACTGGCAGCTTCCTTTCCAGCCTGAGACCCTGCCCCTAGCCTGGGGCATCCCTGGCTAGTCCCCCTCTGCAGGATGCGGCTGGGCAGCCCACAGGACCATCCCGCTCTCCTTGGGGCTCACAGTCCTACCCAGAGCCTGGGCCCGGCTCGCTAGGGCCGGGGCCAGCTGCTGCAGCAGCATGGGTGCGCGTTGCTGCGGAGGTGGTGTGCCCCGGGAACAGACACGGCTCTCATGGCACGCAGGCAGGAGGCTGCAGAGTTATGGTGGCAGGTTTCCCGTCTTGCAGCAGCTATCTTCTAAAAGAACAACCCAGCCCCCCGGCACGCCAAGGCTCAGGCTGGATGGGGAGCTCGCTCGCAGGCCGGGCAGCGGGGGCTGCCAGGAGAGAGGACTGCTGCCCCAAGGGCCGGCTCTGGGCAGAGAGCACACCGAGACAGGGCGGCAGAGCGGGCAGAGGCTGGGGAGGGAACGGTGGGAGGGCAGCAAGTTCCCATCTGAAGCACAGAGCTGCTGCTGAGCTTCCAGAACATCACAACGCCACGCAGCCGCTGGGCCTCCTGGGGGCGCCGTGCTCCTCTACCGGCTCAGCCAGTGGGCAGCCCGATGGGACGTTTATAGCCGAGCCTTCTGAATCGCATGCACCCAAATCCCTGCCCCAGGAGCATGAGGGTTTGGTTACCAGCAACGCCCCGTGCCCCCGGCCTGCCCTCCAGTGCTGGCCCGGGCAGCGTGCAGGGCCTGAGTGCGCCTGAGTCTCTCTGACGTGAGTGTGCGCTGTTACTGTGACGGGGGGGGGACGACGACTCCCTGAGGGGATCCAGTCAGGGCACCCCTATTTCAATCCCGGGTGTTTGCACACTGCAGCTCACAGCCTGCCAGGCGGCTTCCCCCAGGCACCGGGGGGTTGCCGCGCTCACCTCTAGCCTGCTCCACCGTGTTGACAGCCTGGATGAGGAGCTGGGCATTGGACTCCGTGTACTCCACAAACACCAGCAGCAGTTTCAGCGCCATTTTCACCACCAGGCGGTACTGGGGAGGCAGAGGGGCGTATTAGAGGGCTGGCGTGTGAGGAGCTCACTGTTCCGCACTCGATTCACAGAAAGCAGAGCCAACAGCAGCTGCCCGGATCCTCAGTGCAGAGGGGAGAGGTCAGGTCCCAGCACACAATGCTCTGGGTGCCAGACAGGCCGCTGCTGGTCAGGATCAGGGCCACACTTCAGCCAGCAAGCTGTGCCGCACAGAGAACAAACTCCGAGGGCTGGTGCCGGCCGGAGCAGAGGCAGCCCCCAGACGGAGCTAGCACTTCTAGTCCTTGCTGTGTCTCTGTCATCTGTTAGTCTCTAAGGTGCCACAAGGACTCCTCGTTGTTTTTGCTGATACAGACTAACACGGCTACCACCACTCTGAAACCTACCAGGCAGCTCTGCCAAGTGCCCTGAGAGAGGCCAGCCTTGTTCACAGCCCCCCTTGGCCTGCGGTTGGGCACATTCTGTCCCTGCAGTGTCAAACTCCACTCGCAGCAGGACATGGGGGCATCTCTACAGCTTCTGGTTCAATGAGAAAGGCCCCTAAAGGGACCCCCTTTACCAGATCCCTTCAGGTAGGTAGGAAACGACCGAGTGCCAGCGAGCCCTCCTGGGCATGCTGTTCAAACGCACCGAGTGGGGTAATGGAAGTTCTTCGAGACAGTATCCTACACGTGGGTACGCGAGTGCCACGCACCCGAGTCCGGAATGTCTTCAAAGCCATGGCCGTCGACCCCCACATGTGCAGTAATTCTCCTCGCGCTCCCGACCGAGGGTATAAGAGGCAGGGCAGGTCGATGCTGCTCCGGCCGGATGCGAAGCAGAGGGGACGGAGTGGGCTGGTGGAATACAGATAGGGACCACACTTCTCAAAGAAGCGCCAGTTACAGTGAGTAACCACCACCACTCCTTCGAGGGCTGGCCCTTAGGTGTATTGCACAAGCAGGGCTCAGGCCGGAGGAGGGTGCGAGGAAGCTGGCAGCAGAGGTGCTGCCGTCCCTGTGGCGGCCTCCGCTCTTGCTGACCATTTGAGCACAGTGCGCTGTGAAAGCACAGAGGGAACTCCACGTCGCCGCCCTGCAGATGTCCGAGAAGGATGCCGGGGAGGCAGCTGGTGCCCACACGGCGCGAGCTGTGATACGCCCACGACGGGGAAGCTTTGCTGTTTTGTAGCATTCTAAGATGCCTCCTGAAACTGACTTAGAAACCCTTGTGAGGATATGGCTTGTCCCCACCACCTTTCTGCCATGAATAAGTGGCACGTCCACAGTATCAAGCGCATGCTGGTGGGGACGCGTCCAGGCCAAAAACTGCCACCATTTAGCCAGGTAGCAGAGTCTAGTCGAATCTTTCCTGCTTTGGGTCAGGAGTGGGGACTGCAGGTAGGGGAGGAAGAGATCCTCCGATGTCACAAAGGTCACCGCAGGACCCGGAATCAAAGGAGTTCCAGCAGAAATGCCTGAAGGGCCCGGCTTGTCTGACGCAGCCAGACGGTCTTTACATAGACGAGGTGGTGCCGACAAGGTCTCCTGGGCCTGGGCATAGCCTCCTCCATCAGGCCCTTTTTCAGTCGGAGCTCCAGTTCTGGGCAGGAAGGATTTACACACCCTGCACTTGGCAGAGAGACGTGCCTCACCCAGACAGCACCGGCACCAGTGATGCTCGTCGCTGATGGAGAAGGAGCGAGGGCAGTTCTTGAATCCCGGGACTCAGGCCCTGCGGCGGTAAGAAGGAACTGGCCTCTGGTACCATCGGTCGGGAGCAAGAGGCGAGTCTATGGACACCGCTTTGAAGAAATGCCGGACTCGGGTGCATGGCGCATGTGTGGAACACACCTAGGGACCAGCGCTCAGAGGAGGACTGCTCTGGAATACGTGTGCGCAGCCGCCACAGCGTGAGGTCTGAGCCCTACAGGTATCTAGATAATAAGCCCCCAAACATGGCTCGGAGCAGAGCATTGCTTAACCTGCCCTCAGCGAGCATGTGCAGAGCCCAGCTGGACGGGGAGCGAGGCCCAGGCCTGGCACTGGGGGTGAGCGAGGATTCAGAGCACTCAGCAGCCTCACCCCCTAGCACGCTCCTCGTGGAAAGTGCAATGCCAGTGCACGGAAAGCCCTGCCCTTGACAAATCCCAGCTGCAATAAAGCAGCAGGGAGTGGAGGCCGGGAGCAGGCAGCAATGGCCCGGTGCAAAGGGGTGCGGCAGGGCGTGCTCTCCGTTTCACTCACCATGCTCCCGCAGAGCGTGTAGAGCCACTGCACGGTCTCGTTGTGCGCAATCACGCCCAACATCCCGTCCACGAACAGCATGATCTGGCTCAGCGCTGGGAGGGAAAGAGCAGTGTGACGCATGGCTAGAAAGGGTTAAACATCCTGCAGAATAAATAACCCTCAAAAGACACATGGGGAGATCATGATTGTGTTTTTGTGTATTTACATATGTATGAACAGGGTCCACAACATAATCGACAGTCCCTGTCTGTGCTGTATTCTGATAATTCAGATGTCAAAAGAAGATCCTAGTATTTAAATGAATTGTAAATATGGGATATCTCGTATTCATCTCTCTTTGAAATGTACTGTGAATGGTGGAGGAACAAGCAAATGGCCTTATGTTAATTTGTATAGCTAAGTACCGGTGATGGACCTCCTTCAAAGTCATCCTAATGACCTTTTATTCCCCGAGGAACTCCCAACTTGTCAAAGAGGACATGAAATTGTATAAAAGACCCTTGGTTCCTAATTCTGTCATCTCAG